ACTTCTTACCCACAACGAGAAGGTTAGTTAGTTGAATTTGAGAATGTACTACGACGAATTTGTATTGCTGTAAACAAAACAAAATAAAACAAAACAAAACAAGTAAAAAATTACCTTCCTGTCAATGGTCTGGGTAGAAACATAAATAACAAATACAATTTAAAAAATAATAAAAAAACAAAACAAATGTTTAAGTGGGATGTCCAAAATATTGTTGTTTTGTTCAAAACGAGCAATGAGTTCAAAGTCTTCTTGCTGAGCCCCCCCTCAAAAAAGCAAAATGTACTAAGTCTTGTTGCTGTGTCCAAAAATGAGCAAAATGTTCCAAGTTCCAAATCTTGTTGCTGTATCCAAAAACGAGCAAGGAAAAGTAAAATTTTTATATCCCATTATGTCTATCCCACCTCACTGTTTCCTCTTCTCTAAGACAGAGCGCAAACTTCAGTGTGACCCCCACTGTGGCTCAGTATGTTGTGCACTTGGCCAAACAGTTCGACGTGAAGGGTTATCTGCTGTTACTTTTACCTCGAAATTATACTTCTGATTTCCGTTCCAGATGGGGCACGATGCTTCACACTCTGTCGATCACAGACATCGGGGTCGGACGAGGCTTGAAAGAACAGGACAAAGTAAGCTTTACATAGTAGCCTACTGTTGTCATAGAAAAGCATTATCTTCAAATTACCTTTGCTTTGTTATTTTTATATTTGTTGTTTATTTCTTTGATTTTTAAATTTAAAACATAGTTTGGGGGTGTCGTTGGTATTTATTGTGTCAGTTATATGTTTTTAGAGCTCTCTCAGACTTACTTCTGCACTTCCAGGAAGAAGTTTATTTTTAACAAGATGAGAAATTAATGTGCGTTATTATTTTACCAGGTACTTATGAATTTTGAGTTAGAGTAGCCTTTTTATTTATTGCGGACAAGGAAATTCAGGAAATGATTACTGCTGAGGCAATGAAACAAATCCCCAGAACTCACACAAATAAGTATTTGTATCACGACACGGTAGAATCGGAATTCGTAAAATTTTGGACATTTGGAGTTATTGGTATCTTCATAAAATTTGTTCTTTTGTCATGATTACGGTGAAAAAATACTAATGTATTATGAATAGAAGTTGAGATATTTCAAATTCAAGGAGGTTGAGGTCGCTTGCTTTCAGATGTAAAATTAGTGAGGAAATGGCAGTCAAAGTATAGCGACTTCCAAAGGAAATCGCGAATTTACATTTTTGTGCCTTAAATCAACATTTTCAGTAAAATCCACGCAGAAATGTGTTTTTAAATGGACCTTAAAGATATTGAGTTCAAACAACGAAAATTCAATACAATTGCCAAACGGAAAGAAGAATGCCAGTTTCTTTGATTTCTTTATTTTGACAAGCGCCTTATTTCACCTCGATGCCTCCCATTTATTTACATAACGATGAGCGAGTGTACGTCATCCTTGTACGTATCTGGCATATATTATTTTAAGTAGTCTTTTCGTCATCGTGGTTAAGGGCGTATAGGAAAAGGTCGTTGCTAAGTTAAATAAAGAATTTGATCTCTGATGATTTATCATGTGTGCGCGTGTGTGTGTGCGTGTGTGTGTGTGTGTGCGCGTGCGTGCTAGGGGGTTTGCGTGTGTGCGTGCGTTTGTGTGAGTGTGTGAGTGAGTGTGTGTGTGTGTGTGTGTGTGTGTGTGTGTGTGTGTGTGTGTGTGTGAGAGAGAGAGAGAGTACATGCGTGTTGACATGAGCGTCTGCATACATTAAAATTTATTTACCACGCCAGAGCAAGTTCCTCTTCGTGGATATCAATCTGAACATATGTTATCTTATCTTGTCTTGTCCTGTCGTGTCTTATCGTATCATACCTTATATTATCGTATCGTATCTTACTTTATCTCACCTTATCTTCAGATATTTCATTCTCAAGATAGACATGTCATATAATACATTGTCAGAATAAAGATAGAGTTTTAACGTTGAACACATTAAAACGTTCTTGTAAACTTAATACGCTTGTTTGTGTGTTTTTATATACATCCCTCTCTCTCTCTC